ACGCTCCCCGCCCCGGTCCTGTTTGCTAGCAGCTCGTAGCTAGTACAACTTGCCTGTCTGATCACCAGTGCTCTGAAACATTTGGGTTTGCCAACACATTAGAGCCTTTCCCTGTAGTCACATCCCAGTTGGGTCATACCAAAGACTTTAAAAAAAATGGGACCCAATGCCTCCCTGCTTGACACTGAGCTTGAAGGGGTTGGATTGGGGTTAAAACACCAAATAATCCCCTGGCACTGCAGTCTGCTTCCAGCACATTTCCTGCATGTTTTAGATCATGAGCATAGCTGATTTGTTTCATTTAGTGATGAACCGGTCCTGTAGACACTAAGGAAGACTGAGGTGACATTTCAGCTGTTAGATTATGGTGTTTTTACTACAGTGAAACTCTAGGGGGTTCTAAAAACAAGCCAAAACGGTTCCGTTAAGTGATGTTAATTTTATCTATTAGTGAGAATTACATGATTACGTTTTCCAGAGTTTCTGATTTAGCATATGTTGCACCCGACGCCTGACAGGTCAGCAGTTCCACTAAACTTAGGCCCTGTCCACACGTAGCCGGGGATCTGCCAAAACGTAGATATTTTTCTACGTTTTGGCCTGTCATCCACACGAAAACGGAGTTTTTTCACACGAAAACGGATCTTTTTAAAAACTCCGGCCAAAGTGAAGATCTGCGTTTTCTCCGTTTTGGGTGTCTGCGTGTGGACAGACAAAACCGGAGTTTTAAGGTCCGCAACGTCACTTTCCGCGACAAAAAATGCTGACATCACGTGTGCGACCTGTGTTTACACTAGCCGGCATCATGGAAGCCCTCAGAGCTGCGCTCGCTTTATCAATTGTCCAAGCGCTTTTTGCTTGTTTGTTTTTGCAAGTGGAATTACTGCTCCTTGCGGAAGACCACAGACGAAGGACGAGGTTAAGAACGGGGGAAGTACTGCCGCCTATAGGTCTGGCATGTCCTTAACATCGTATTTATCCGGGTACGTGTGGACAGAGTGTTTTTTTAAACGCGGTGGTGTGGATGCAATTTTTTGGAGGGGCAGATATTCGTTTTTAAAAAACCCCGGCTACGTGTGGACTAGGCCTTAAAACAAATGAGAATAGATGCAGGTTGAACAACGATCCAGTCCAGAGGCCATCGTCAGACTGTGCTGCTTTTTTTGTGCTGCAACGACAAGACCAGACAGCTGTCAGACAGAAGGGAAGCTCTACGGGAAACCAGTGGAGAGACTGACTTAGTCATAGTACAGAAATGTAGTCCGATTATAAACAAGCATTAAGGCACACAAACAGTGCATTTACAAGAGCATGACCGTGTGTGTTAATCTGGATTAGAATACATTTAGAGTTTAGATATTTTAAGTAGGGATCTGGTTACGGATTTGTTTATATCTGGAGAATGGTGCCCTTTCCTTCCTGGTTATTTCTGTTATTTGTTTATTTAATTTTTCCCCAATTAGAATGATTTACTCAGATTGCTTAGATAACTATCTTCCTCTTTTACAAGAATTTCTTATGACATGGAATTCATCAAGCTCAGCTGGTCCGTCTTTGAGTTTCAAACCAGCAGCATGCCGTGTCCTGTTTTTTGCATTATAAACTGTGTGTGTGTGTGTGTCTGTCTGTCTGTCTGTCTGACCATTTCCGTTACCACAGGTTGTAGATATCAACTTAAACTAGTCTGTCAGTTAATGGATGAGTTGGTAAAATTCCTTTCAGCAGCGATCAAAGTTATGCAGAATTTTTCAGTCTTGTACTTTTTACATCAGATAAAACAGTTAATGTATGTTAAGTTTGAAAAAAAAACATTCAAGTTGAATAAACATATTTAAAGGTACAATATGTAAGAATTTTACAATGAAATAATCACACAAGTTTTTCTCCTTTCAAAATTACCAAAGACAGGCATACTCGTTTACAATCTGTGAGCCGGCGCTGCTGCATCAGCATTTTTAATCTGACACCGGCCAGCAAAATCCAGCAATGTTGTGTAAAGATCCTAAAATTGGGTAAAGAAGGCTAGAGGCTAATGTTGAGAAAACAATGCTAACGGTAAATTAGAAGCAAATAGTCAGCTCTAAAAAAATATCTTAAACTTCTTTTTCAGTTGCCAACAACTCAATATTACAGTTAAAGCCAATTTTCTACTCATCAACTTACTGTGCGTGATTAGTTTGTCTCATCATCTAGAATCTTCTGGCACAGTGCCGTAACTGGCAACAGCCATGAAAGCCACGGAGCAGGAGTGAGAGAGTCGCTTGTGTGTTCATAAGATGGACTGCAGTACCAACATTTGACATTGTGCACCTTTAATCGTTTTTATGTTTTTGGAGATTTATTCTGCATTCAGTTATTTTGCACTTCACTTGTTTTATAAATAATATAAATAATTGTTAAATGTTCACTTATAATAAACCTTGCTCTACTAATGACTGTGAGGCTTAATTTATTTTTTTTCCCCCATAAAATAATTGCCAGCCTTCCATGTGATCATCATCTACATGAGCTTTGGATAACTGACTCTAAACTCCTAGAGATGCAGCTCCAGTGTGATGCTGTTGGATGATTTTATTTTGTCCATTTTCCCCTTTTTAACCCACTTTCCTCTGTTTTTCCTCAATGTTGTAGCTGTGTGTTTTTGTTGTGATCACGTTTATCTGAGGAACTTTAGTTTATCATGAAAACTGTAATTTGTGGCTCTGCAGGGTGTTATCAGGAGGGTTAAAGGACAGCCTAGTGAGAGCACTGTAATATTACATTCTGTCAACACAATAATAACTTCGTTTGGTGTTTACTCCTTCAGATCGCGGTGGTCTGAATTTCTGATGGAAAGGAAGTGAGAAAAGTTATGGATGCTCAGATGTGAAAAATGTTTTCATAATTAAAATTTTTGTAAGAAATAATTAGGTTGAAAAGGGTAAAAATGGAAGATATTAATGTCTGGCAAATGGATTGACCATCTGTGATGGTCCAAATCCTTTGTGGTGTTTTCTGTACATGTAATGTGTACATTAGAAAGCTAGGATTGTTATGATACCCATATGGCAATCAAGACAGTAAACTCTTATTTCAGACTCGCAAATTTAAAATAATATCCAATAGGGTTGTCACGGTATGAAAATATAACCTCACGGTTATTGTGACCAAAATTATCACGGTTTACTGTATTATCGCGGTATTTTTTAAACGGTGTTGCATATGTTCAGAAAGCATTGATAGTCCTGTTCTACACAAACTGAAATAGTTTTGAAAAGGTTTAACAGTGTTTATTAAACCTAAAATAACACAAAGCCTTAGCAAAAGTGCAACTTTTCACAAGTAAAGGAACAAATAGCTTCTTTTTCTGGAACATGTTACAGTAGTCAGTGCAGGTTTAAATTATACAAATCCAAACATTCAAAACATAAACAATATGTAAACAAATCAAAGAAACACCACTTGTTTTCTCATATACTTGTTTTCTTCATTATCAAAATGAAAATCTAAAACTCCAGTCCACACTTAACTTGAGCACTGTACAAGTCAACCTTAAAAAATATGTATTTAAAATAAACAGCCACTTTAAACAAATTACTAAAATAACTACTACACTATGTAATCAAATCCAAATGTTCAAGTATAAATGGCATTGAATAAGTAAACAAATCCATGACAAGGAACTAATTGTATATTTCTCTTCATCATCAACAAATAAGATGCTTCATCCAGCAACAGGGTGTCCGTGACACGGTTTAAATGCTGGCAGAGGACGCTGCGGCGACTCGTTGCATTCTCCCTCAACCAAAAGTCCTCACGTCATGCATTTAAGCTAAAATGCTAATGTTAACTTACCTTGCACTGGCTGTAGAGACGTGGGTGATGGCCACTCAGATGTGCCATTAGATTCGAAGTGTTGCTGCCTTTTGCAGACACTTGTTTCCTGCACGTTCTGCAAACGGGATAGCAGTCTTCTATTAACTGTCCCTCAGCATTTTTCAGAAATCCAAAATATGCCCAAACTTCCGATTTAGTCTTCTTTGAGGGCTGATGGATGTCCTGGGCGCTGCCGTCTCCTCCTTCGGCCATTATTTCAGCTTCAAAGTTTTGGTGCCGTTGCAAACTAAAAAGTGCGTGTGCGCGCCGCGGGAACTTCAGCTGAAGCGACGGTGGCTGGTAAGAGTCACCGCGCCAAAACCGCGGCCACGGTAAACCCACCGAGATAATTTAGTTTTTTAAAAACTGGACGGTTATTTTTATTGTCAACTTTTTTACCGGGGTTTACCGCTATACCGGTTACCGTGACAACCTTAATATCCAACTCACTGATCAAAGCCTCACATCACTGATGGAACAAAATGGTCTTTTTACATTCACAAGGGTCCAATAAAATTACTACAATAAAATAATTAGCCCACAGCAAGTCTTATGTCCACAATCAAGCTTATTGTATTGCTGAAAACATTCAAAACTTCCCTCAGATGCATCTATGGTAACTTCCACATTAGCATCTTTGTGGTAGCTTCAAGCTTTTGAATGACATCTACCTGAATCCGGATCAGGGTTACCCGTCCTCTGCTGGGACAAATTCATCAGCTATTGGCCGATAAGTCAGAATCACCGCCCTCTATTAACGTGTGTCGTTTGAACCATTTGCGACACTGTTTATTTTTGATTGACGACTCGCTTAACCAGTGAAAAATAATGACATTTCACATGGAGTCCTCGTGGTCTGAATGAGTGACGATTGTTGGATCACTCTGTGCGGTGCATGTCAGGTAAGAAAACGTCTAAACGTCACCCATCATTGTTTTTTTGGACTGATGAATATCACTTGAAAAAGTTTTAAATAACGCCCAACTTTAGAAGGTAAACTTTTTGGACTCTTTTATAAACTAGCTTTGACTTGGGTTGACGCATTCTTTAGACGTTCCCAGATGTTGTGTGTTGAAACAAAGTGATTCTTTGAGAAAATAAAAGTCCAGTTGTTAAATGTGGATTCTGTGGCTTTCCTCTCCCAGGTGTTGTGAATGCAGCACATCCCTGTCCCACTGGTATTATGAGAAAGATGGGCGACTTTACTGCAAGACAGACTACTGGGCCAAATTTGGGGAGTTGTGCCATGGCTGCAACGACCCGATCACCACCGGGCTCATCATGGTAAGAGAATCTGTCTGTTGAAGCTGTCCTGTCTGTTTGCACCCCCCGCCGGCTCTTTGTTTGCTGATAAAACTCGAGTTACATCCCTGAGCTGAGACACCGATAAATACACACACATGAGTCCAAACATTTACAGTCTGCCTGCCTGGTTTTCATGCGGACACTGACTGGATCTGTGCCAGATCTGAAACCAACGCTGATATATACAGCTTCGTCGGATCGTGTTACAGACCACCAGTGAGAGTCCGGGCTGTTGTTGTGTCAGAAGAGAAGATCGTTTGCACATTAGATGTGGTCACAGCAGCTGATCAACAACAGACTGTCCCCCTGCTGATAAGTGACTCTGTATTATTAAGAAGACAAGATAACGATACCACTGTCGGTTGATTAGTGATTGAATCACACACTAGCTTAAAGAAACCTGCAAACAGAAGTGTAGAGCAACTCCTACAGTTACAGCTCTGCAGTCAGCATCGTGTGCGAACTCTGCTTTCCTCTGCATCTCTTAGTTTTGACACACTGTCATTTACCCCCAGACACATTCTCCTTTACAGTCCAATCCCAGTAATGAAACATGTAGGAGCCTCCAAAGTGGATTAGACAGTGTGATTGCTGTTTCTCTTTCCTCCTTCAGCTTTATTGCTCCTCTTACTGTGCAAAGTAACTGATCGACTGCTGCACTTTAACAAATTTGAGACCACTCCTCCTGTCAGGCTTTAACGTGATGGACACATCAGACATACCAAGGTCGAGCGTCCGCGTCTTTCTGTTGTTACTGTGACACCATCAGGAAAACGCGATCCTGTTTTTAAACTTCACCAGTTTTGCTACACCTAAAACACTCCTGTTAGTCAGTGAAAACACTTGATGATGCAGCAATGAGTCAGCCTGCAGATAAATACACACCTGATGGTCAGCCAGACAGGAATGAGCAAAGCCTTGTTTGCGTTTCATGGGATTTCATCACTCCTGCTTCTACGATGTCCTTCACACAAACAGTCATGTTTTGTGTTGTTTTTAGCTGTTTGGGAAAAGCTGTTTGCTTGTGGCGTTGCTTTCATAAAAGCCTCTTTAGTTCTTTCTCAAAGGATTTGATTTTACTGCCAGGAAAAGCAAGACTTTTAAACACAAGACTTTGAAACATTCCCACCATGTACTGTAGTTGTTTCCCGTGTGTGTGTGTGCGTGTGTGTGTGTGTGTGTGTGCGTGTGTGTGTGTGTGTGTATTTGAATGTACAGGTCAAAGGAAGGTAAAAGTCACAATTAACCAACAATACTTTAATACGAGGGAGAAAATTCTTGATCTTTCTGATTTTTCACCCAACCCTTCCCATCCAACAATTTTAAGGACACGCCCATTTACCGTAATGGCCCTGAAGACGATCTCATCAGATAATCCTACCATGTGTGGTGTATAATGTGCGCTCAGGTCTGCTCGGAGACATTGGGATCAACTTGTCTTGGTCTGATTTTCGAGGACAAACCAGCTTACTTCTTGTTGAATGTAATGTGTCACCAATCAAAAAGCGAGGCTGTACGTTCTTCCTCTGCCATGTTTGTTTACTCCAAAGATATGTTTGATCTTGTGAGATTTTTCTGTCTGAACAGGGATTGTTCATCAGAATCAGAAAGGTTTTATTGCCATATTTGTGAGAATTACAACATTAGGAAATTGCTGCGGTACTTGGTCCAAAAAGATGATAAAAATGAGAGATAAGCAAATATAGGAAGTAAGAATTTAATCATGCTAAAATAATAATATAAAGTGGCAATAATTAGAGAAACAGCTACTATATACATAACGGTGTAGGTAGGTACTGATCGGAGCGGAACAGTTCAGGCACAAACACAACACAGCAGTGCCTTGGGAACATATTTTCCCAAGGGGATGCTGTGATCAGCCACATACAAAAAACCGCACACGTGTTTAACATGTTTATACATATTTATGTGTAATAGTAGTAAGCCTTAATTATTCTTGATTCATTCTTCAACATAACAGCAGCTTGTTACCATCAACACTGGGAAAACCCCACAAATAAGTCAAAACTTTCAGAATCCACACCGAACCGCGCGTTGGCAAGGGAACTGACGCTCTGCAACAGATCTGACACCGATGTGTTTATCAACAGAAACAGAACCACCCTCCAAGAACATCTCCTTAAATCTAACAGAAACTAAAAACAAAACTGAACTGTTCCACCCGTTGCTCATGTACACGTGACACCACAGAAAAACTGTTTCAAACCAGTATCAGCAAACATCAGTGCAGTAACGGTTCGCCTTTCACACTAGTTTCTTGTTCCATTATGCATGCATTTTTTTTACAGTGCTTTGTGTTCTGCGTCTGAAGGTTTGAACTTTGAGAATGTTTAAACACGAGAGAAAAGTGAAAACGTTAATGCATATCTGAAAAAAGTGCATAAGGTGTGTAGTGAGGGGTTTTTGCGGCGGTGCGCTGGGACGAGCACGTCTGCAGAGAGAGGAGCTCGCACTGTGCCAAAGCTGGAGCGCATCAGTAATCTGCGCTCCCGCACAGGAGGAGGAGACGCAAATCTGCCCAAATGCTGGAAACTGTTGAGAAACAGAGTCTGTTGTGTTTTCGTGTGCGACCCAAAAAGTAGCTGCTTATGCTAAACATGTAAAAAATAAAGTTGACTACTTTGTGGATTTTGCAGGTTATTTTTAGAACGTAACTCACGCAATTAAGGACCACTGTAACGAGCACAGATCTGATCAACAAGCCATCAGCCTTTCCACACAGAGTGAACAAAGAGCAATAATCAAATCAATTTTACTTACTTTTATGATGACACTCCAAAGTGTTCTTGCGCTCCAGAATTGCGCTGATGAAACGCAGCATCATCATGTCTCATATATCCAACTGTTCCACAACATTTCCACGCAGGTGCACATGTCTGAGGTGTGTAAAGTTCCTTTGTTCAATGTAAATACGTAAATAAATGTTACGCCGGTTTACATCTAAGCGGCGGCCACATTACTTAAGGGAAATCAACATGGAGTTCTTATTCAAAAAGCAATGATTATCAGTAAAATACCATAAAAATGTCTAAGTACACGAACAAAAAGGAATATAGACAATCTAGTGGGTTTCTCATCCCGATAAATCAACAGAGAAATAAACACAAGTGTCCCTATTTGTGTACACACATATCTTATGTCTTATAAGCTAGCTCAGTGTACGTTTGACATACAAAATGTTTTTGAAAATAATATGTACTAGTAGTTGTGTTAAATTAAACTCAAAACAAAATCTAATAAAAATACTTTTACTTTTGCTTGCAGTATATCAACATGCATATAATTTGTCTTCCACAAGGGGGTGCTGCAGCACCCTCAGCACCCCTACTTCCCACGGCATTGCGACACAGGGTCATGTAACTGAAGCCAAGAGACTGGAGTGGGCAGTCCTAGGACTGTCGTTCATTAGTCCAACAAAAGAGGGGAGGAAATTGTTCTTGTGGTGAGAGGTTCTGGTCCGAATGGATATGAACCTCCTACCAGATGGGAGCGAGTCTAAACGACTGTTTCCATGGTGACATGGGTCAGCTGTGATCCGACCTGCACGCTTCAATGTCCTGGAGGTGTACAGGTCCTATAGGGAGGGGAGTTTTCAGCCAATGACCTTCTCAGCAGAGCGTACAACACGCAGCTTCTTCTTGTCCCTGATGGTGGCTCCAGCATACCACACAGTGATTGAGGAGGCGAGGATGGACTCGATGACTGCGGTGTAGAACTGCCTTATCGACTGTGCTGGCAGGTAGAATTTTTTTTCAGCTGCCTCAGGAAGTACGTTCTCTGTTGACGGAGGTGATGGTGGGTTCCCACTTGAGGTTTTGGGTGATGGTGTTGCCCAGGAAGCGACGTGAGTCCACCATCGTGATGGGAGTGTCAGACAGGGTTATGGGGGAAGTAGGGCGTTGTTGCTTCCTAAAGTCCAAAACAAAACCACCTTTTTTCATCTTTTCTGCCTTTTTTTTATTATTTATTTTTTTTATTTTTTTACAAAATAAACCAACTTGTAGACTTTTAATCCAGTAGCTAAATGGGTCAAATGTTATCAGATGAAAGCCATAATAAACCAAGATTTAGGTTTAATCCCAGCACGCAGTCAGCACATAGCCTCTCTTCCAGTCCACTCTCATCACACACATTCAGTCTTGAATTGATATGAATCAGTTAATAACCACATTCCTATTATAATAGGTCAGTTTCGCCTCAGAACTGCTGTATATTTCCACAATTGTCACGTACAGTTCCTAAAACTCCCCCTGTTCCTGGTTTTAAAACAGAATGGTCACGCAGCATCTGAATAATGTAGAGGTCAAATGAAGAAAACTCCTCATTAATTTTAGGCAAACTTTATTTATTTAGCACATTTCATACACACAAGCAAGTCAATGTGCTACAAGAGAACAGCAAAAACATAAAACACCAGACAACTTCAACAGTAGATTTTAAAATCCAACTTATAACACAAATAAAATTAGACATGAGAAGAAAAAATAAGTATGTTAGAGACTGCACAATTACAAATTTAAAAAAGAAATGTGTTTTTCCCCCACAGTTCTATTGTTTAAAACTTGATGTGTCATTGCAGCCAGGAGGCAAAGATTACCTCAGATTATTTTCTTTAAAACTTTCCTTTCAGAGTTGTGGCTCAAGAATAAGTTATCCAACTTCAACGTAGTTTGTTTTAACCCTCTGGAGGCAGACGTTAAATCCTATCCACCTGGTTACTCCACATAAGTATTTCATGAGCTTTTTTTTACTCAGAAGTACCCCTGATGGACTTAGTTGTTCATCCTTTTATCAAAACTTAATTTAAGCCTGAGAGGGTTAATCATGATCATGCTGTCATCAAACCAATACAAGTATGTTTAGAACTGGTCCTAAATGACTCTCATTCCAAACTACTGCGTTTTGGTTTAATCAAATGAATTTAGTCCAATTGAGTTTATTCAGATTATTGAAGCCAA